ATTGGTCTGATGAGTCAGGGCCGCTGAAGAGGGGCTTTCTCATGGCTGTGATGGCGGGAAGGGGCGCCAACTCGATTACCTGCGTCCCTCTGCCAGGGCAGGTGACTGCCCCGCCGCTTTGGCGACACCAGGGTTGGTGCACTCTGGGAGAAGAGATTCCCCTGCTGGGGGTTTAGGCTGTTGCTGGAGAACCACCAGGATTCCTGCCCAGTAACTCCCCTCAAATAAATAAACGAGGGAAAAGAAGCCTGTCACCCAATGCTGGCCACAACTACTAAGGAAAGAATCCAAGGGAAAATATGTCCACCTCAAAAAGAAAATTGAAAAACTGCACAGGATTGTGGCCTCCAGGATTATTTTTTAAAAGACACTTTTTTAGAAGTTGAATGAATGATTAGCTGGCTCAGAGGAAGTGAAAGGCAATTCCTCTCCACCAGGGAAGGTCTCAGAGAACACAGAATTTTGAGCTCAGGGCTGAGGAGTCCGGGGACTGCTCTCCGGCATATGGGTCCAGTTCGAATATTCATCATTTGCAGAAAAAAGCACCCAGCTCTGGATCCAGATGAGACTTCTGTGTTCCAAGCCTTTCTTTAGGATGTGGCTGTCTGAGAAGTCCTGACACAGGCCCTTCTCTCAGGGTCATGTGTGACACCGGCACTCCGAAAAACCCCGAGCATGCAGGTTCCCTGCGTTACCACGTGGGGCTGGCCAGACATGGGTGCCCCGTCCCCGGCTACCGGCAGCTCCCAACCCCAAAGCAGATCCTTGGAACTACCGCCGACAAAGATCAGAAAAACACAGGCAATTCGGAAAACCAGAAAAATATTTTTGCTAACTCTCAGAATCACCCCTAAAAAGGGCAGAGTGTTTTATGAACCTCTATTTCCACGGGGCATAGACAAAGCAAATAGTGGGCAGGGTACGAGCATGCCGCCACACCCTCACACCTGGGAACGCCCACCCCTGGAGCACGCTACACTTCGTCCACACTTGTAGCAGATACACATGTACCTGGATGCGGACACACATTTGCACACACACTCAGTGAAGGGGAATTCTCTTGAGTTAACTAAGTTAACTAGTTAACTAAGCTGGAACAAAACCTTTTTTCTGTATGAGAATGTCAAGGAGATGGAGGAAACTGCCTGGCACAGAGCACACTACTGGACAGCCTGGCAGGAGGGATTCATTCCTGGGGCACCACTGGCCTCTGCTGCCCGCACGGGGCATAGCAGCTGCAAATGGCACGCTCCCTGCATGGCGGGGAGGCTTCAGCATCACCCTCACAGCTGAGTGCCCTGGCCACCCCACACTGTCCCTGCTGCATTCCCTACTTCAGCGACTCTAAGTCCAAGGGTGCGGATTTTTCCAGAAACTTTAAGGGCTGTGTTCCACTTGCCCCAGGGCCCGTCCCCAGCCTCAACACAAGACGCCCATATGACAGGCCAAGGCTGAGCAGCGTGGCTCCCAAGTCAGCTGCCCTTGGCACCACCAGCACGTGTATTCCAGACTCTGAAAAGCCACCAGCTCCTCGTCCCCCTCACACATCTGAATTGTGACCTGCACAGGCAGCATGACATGCGGCTACCAGGATGTGGCAAATGCACGTCCTGCCCAACTTCCCCGAAACAGAAGCCCGCGGGGTACACGACTGTCATCCCGAGACAGGCAGAAAGCGCAGCCATTCTGAAGACTGTCCCACTGTGCGGCTGAAGTTCTATAGGGATCAGGATGCGACAGCCCAGGGATTTGGGAGATGGAACGCCCCCTCATCTGGCCAGAAGCCTGTGTCCTGCTGGGGTTATCAGGGCAACGCCGGTCCTTACGAAGGTCCAAGGCCTCTCTCAACGGAGAGCTGAAGTCAGAGGGGGTGAGGGAAGAGGAGGAATGTGCCCCAGCACCTCAGTGACTGCCAAGCACCCTGTGCTGGTTTCAGAGCATACTGCATCCCTCATAATTCTACGGAACACTTCAGAACAAATGCAGGGCTCCTCAGAAGCAGGAGGTCACAGAGGCAACAGCGGGTGGTGCCGTCAGATGCACAGGGCCACTCCCGCCGCCACCACCACCTGTGCATAGGCTGGTGGAGTGATTCCATCTCCATGCTCCTCAGCGTCCTCTTTAAAACGGGTATACAGGATACTGACCCCCACAGGAGGAGACAGGCATGAAATGACAGCGTGCTTCTGAGCCAATGCCTGGCCACAGGAAGAGCCTCCCAGGAAAGGACAGCTACCTTCACCACCAGCCACACACTGTCACACCACCAGGTTTCTGGGGCCTCACTGTACACACCTGAGAAAGATAAAGCTAAACAGCCCCAACCCAGCAGCTGGTCTGGCATCGCCACCACTGGGAACTCACAGCCAGCCTCCTGCCACAGCACAGGCATGATGGGACCCCCTGCCCACACTGAAACAGCACCGAGCCTCCCGCCACAGCACAGGAACGAGGGGACCCCCTGCCGACAATGAAACAGCACCGAGCCTCCCGCCACAGCGCAGGAACGAGGGGACCCCCTGCCCACACTGAAACAGCAC